TTTGTTCATTAGGCTTACAGAATATCTCTAGCACATGTGAACTTCTATTTTCTTTGTTCTAAATCTTATATAATTGATGCATGCATGGAGCAGTTATTTACTGCATACTACAAACATGCTCTGTAGCCGTGGACTTGGGTCCCACAGCCTTAACTTCTCTCAAGGCCAGCTCACACCTATATATTGTGAAATATTTACCACAGATAAGGTTAGCCAACATATCCTTTACCTCACATAATTACCATTTTGTTATTAAAGTGAGAACATTAAAGCTCTACTCTCATATGAACTTTCAAATTCACAATACAGTGTTGTTAACTGTGGTCACCATGCTGTACATTAGATTCTCAGAACCTATTCATCTTATAACTGAAAGTTTGTACCCTTGATCAGGAATCTCCCCATTCCTGCCACCTATCAGCCCCTGGCAACCACCATTCTATGAGTTTGATGTTTTTAGATTTCACATTTAAGTGAGATCACACAGTATTTGTCTTTCTCTAGCTGACTTATTTCACTTAGTATAGTGTCCTCGAGGTCCATCCATGTTGTCACAAAAGGCAAGGTTTCCATTTTTAATGGCTGAATATTATTTCATTGTGTGTATATATATCTCACATTTCCATTACCTAAGTGTCACATTTGACAGATACGTTGTTTTTATGTCTTGGCTATTGCAAATATTGCTGCAATGAACATGGGTGTGCAGGTATCTCTTTGAGATAGTGATTTCATTTCCTTTGGTTATTTACCAGGAAGTAGGATTGGCTGGATCATATGGTACTTCTATCTGCTCATCTCAGTTTGATGGTTAGAGTATGCAAAAAAATTAAAAAAAAATTAAATACCCCATTTTCGCATCTCCTGCCTTAATTTTCCAAGTAACTTTGGTCTAGCGTAATGACTGTCATGATATTCCATTGTCATTTATATGCCAATTGAGCCCATTTATACAAGTATACGCTGTAGGGTGAGTTTGGGGATGTCAGATTTCTTGGGTTAAAACCATGACTTCTTCACTTGTACAAACTTAGGCAAATTGGTTCTTATGTCTCAGTTTTCTGTGTCTCAGTTTTTTCACCTATAAAATGAAGATGACCCTATACTATCTCATAGTGCTATAAGTTTTAAATGGGATATTTAAGTTAGAACTCTTAGCCAAGAATAAGCAATCACTCTGATCTATAATAGTCAATATACTTGCTACCATATGCAAAGCTAAAGAATCAAATATATAAAAAGTAGTCATATTGGTAAGAGTGTGGCATTCTTATCTTCTCTACTTCTTAGCTTACTGATTTAAAGTAGAAAAGCTTAGAGTTTTAAAAAATATTCTTATTGAAATATAACACATTAAGAGGAAACAAATGCACACATTATAAATATATAGCTTAATAATTTTTTTATTGTGGTGAGAACATTTAACACGGGATTTACCCTCTTAACAGGTTTTTAAAGTGTACAGTATTCTTATCTATAGGCACAGTGTTGTGCAGCAGATCTCCAGATTTACTCATCTCCCATAACTGAAACTTTATACCTGTGATTAGTAAACACGTTGTCCCCTACCTCCGGCTCCTGGCAATCAACATTCTGGTCTCAGCATCTATGAGTGTGACTATTTTAGATACCTCATGTATGTAGGATCATTCAGTATTTGTCCTTCTGTGACTGGCTTGTTTCACTTAGCATAATGTCCTCATGTTCCATCCATGTTATTGAATATAGCATGATTTCCTTCTTTTTGAAAGCTGAGTAATATTCCATTTGATACATATATTTATATATGTATATTAAAATATATTAAATATTTAAGCATTATATAAATATATTTGACACATATACTTATATCACATTTTTTTATCCATTCATCTGTCTATGGACATTAGGTTGCTTCCCTACAGTGGCCATTTTGAATAGTGCTGCAACAAACATGGGCGTGCTGTTACCTCTTTGATACCCTGATTTCAATTCTGTTGGATAAATACTCGGAAGTGGGATTTCTGGATTATATGATAGTTCTATTTTTAACTTTTTGAGGAAACTCTGTACTAGTACTAGTTTCCATATAGACTGCACCATTCCATATTCCCATTAACACTGTACAAGGATTCCAATTTCTCCACTTCTTTGTCAACACTAGTTGTCTTTTGTTTTAACAATAACAGCCACCCTAACAGGCGTGACTTCTAACTGAAGACTGTCAGAGGTGGGAGTTCATGTCACCTAGCAGAGTTATAAATATTTTCATCCAAAATTAAAATTCTACATGCTCTTTGAAACAGTAATTCTGGTTCAAAGATATTTATTCTGTAGGTATAAATGATATTTGTATAAAGTCTAAAATGATATTTGTGCCATATTCTCTACAGCACTGAGTGTAATTACAAAAATTCCTAATTCATCTTCATCTCTGTAATGATGCGTTTCCACATAACCTTTAATACTACTCTGTATGAGCTGATGGGGAATGATCTCCAAGATAGATTAAGTGACCAAAGCAAGATGTGGAAAGGTATGTATAGTATGGCACATACAGGAGACAAACTAAATGGGTATCTATGGACCCATTTGAATATGCATGGTGTAATCTTTACCAGAGTACACAAAAATACTGGTAAGAATTAATCATTTTTGAAGGCAAGACTGTCTGACAAGTAGTTGGGAGAAAAAAGGAGACTTCCATTTCATTACATTCCCTATTTTTATCTTTTGGACTTTGTGCCTGTGTGTGGTAGAGTGAATTGTGTCCCCCAGTTCTGCACTTCTGTATAACAACAGCATTATATGTCCGCAATCTTTGCCATGTGGTTTGCAGCCTCCCACTGTAGGTGAAGCTGACTATTCCGCCCCACTGAGGTCAGGCTTGGTCATGTGATCTGAATTAGCCAAAGGCATGTGAACAAGCAGAAGTTCCACTCTGCGGGCGCCACCTAGCTGGGCCCCTTGTGCTGGTGGGACCTGTCCTATGAAGGACATAACCCTGAGAGCTGCTAGTTCCAGAATGAAGAGAAGATGTGGAGAAGATCTGGACCCAACCTGCAGCTTTGAGCCACACGCAGGTGATCCCAGCTGAAAGCAGAACCACTCCAGACAAACTGCAGACTTGTGAGCATAAAAAAATAAATGTTGTAAGCCACTGAGTTGTTCACGATTGTTTATTACACAGCATTGTCATAGCAGGAGTCAAATAAGACACATTCGTAGGGGCTCGCTTAACCTACAATTAACTAGATTCCTATATTAACCAATGTCCTCTTTCCTCTCTGTAAACGTATTAGCTGATGTTTAATGCCTCTTAAACATCCATAACTAGTAGCCATATCCTTCTACTCCTTCCAGCTAAATCATGTGCTTACTAAGAATTAGATATTTGTTCTCAGAGTTAGCTATGCCTGTTCTATTTGTTGTATCAATTAAATTATTGAATTTTGATTAATTTATTTAAATGTGGCTAAAAAAGAATGTATTACCTGTATGAAAACTACCTTGTAATCTTTGAAAGAGCTCAATAAAAGTCATGAAAAACTGTAGTAACATTAGTCAGATCTTGATAAATAAATATTATAAAAATATAAAAGGACTTGCACTTAAAATTGCTTCCCAAGTTTTTAAATTGTCATCCCTTTTAAAGACACTAAAACTAAAAGTTAAAAATGATCAATTATGGATTCTTTAATGAGGAATAATTATGTGGTGTTCAATACCCAAAGACCTTGGTCCTATACACAAATATTCCTGAGATGACTTATATTTACCTGTTTTAAATTAACCAGTTGAAGGTATGTATGTGTGTTCTTTATTTATGATTCCTTGAGGATCATCAACAGTTTCCCATTAATTACATCTTCATAGAAGGTAAAGGACTTTTCCAAGTTCACATCATGCAGGAATGTGGATGTGACACTAAAACTTCATGCTACTCTTGGAACTCTATAATAAATCCTAGAGTCAATGTCTAGTCATTTAGTGACTGAAATAGAGCAAGACTTTGGAAATTGCTCGTGACTTTCTCGCTGGTTCTAAAAGTAGGTTTTCTGGAAGCTGCTTTAAATGTTACAGGGTACAAATGCAGTAATATAAATTCCACTTTGATAATGAGGCATAATGGCTGTTTAGTTTATCTTCAGAGCAAAACAAGTGAAGAATGTTCTTCCGCGTGTTATGGCTGAAGACTGCTGCTGACTGTCAAGCTCTAGTACACTACTTTCAGAAAGCTTTATTAATTTAACCTTCTTTTAAAGGCAATGACCTATTGTGAATAATTTTAATAACTAGAAATTGAGCTTATCCTAGTCATTTCCAATTTTCCCTTTTTTTCTTCCTTAGCTTGAAATAGTAAAACAAACTCCTGGAATGCTTAAATTTGGTTAGTTTTCCATTCTGCTATCTTTTTTCATGCTTGGAGCGGGCTTATTTCCTGGCTTGTTTATAGATGACTGTGTGACTACGGCTGTGATTGTGATTTCAAGAAAGCCACCAGATGCCAGCCACCTGAAATACATACCCAAACGGCTGCCTTGACGAGGCCTTTCTCGCGAAGTCAGCACTCCTATGCTTACATTCAATCCTTTGAAAAAGGGGATGCGGAGAGGGTATCCTTTGTATGAAGCCACTGTATATGTTTGAAATAGGAAAGAGAAAGTCCTCTTTTAACCCCTCTCCCAAGAGGACAATTAGCAGAGAAGAGTTTACTAGGCCTTCTTATTTGAAAAAGAGGACCTAGCCCTGACTGCGGGGAAGAGATGCTGGGATTTCAGGTGTGGCCATTTCGCAGAGAAGGAGCAGCACAGTTGAAACAACTCCTAGCTGGGATGCTGTCACGAGGGAATGCCTTAGAGGCGGCAGCAGGTGAGGGATGCTGGAGGAGACCTCACTGCTGGTTAGTATTTTTCCCCAAGCCTCTTGTGGGCTTGCAAGCAACTTTTAACTACGAAGTAGGTGCACTGCAGTCAGGGATACAACTTCAACAGATCTATGATTTTACTGTACACCCGTTGAGCAGCATCGAGGCCCCATATGAAATCAAAGTGGTTCCAATCTGGCAACAGGTCGAAGTAACGGAGATTCCTGATTTGGGGCAGTATCCAAGCCACATCCTTGAGTGTTACAAGGACATCGTTTCCACCAGCCCAAATAGCAGTAGGCACTTTCATGGCAGTCAGGTGATACAGTGGCGGACGACTCTAGGGAAGAGAGAGAGAGGGCATTCATGAGAGGAAGCTCCTCAGAGCAACAGCTGACTTCAAGTAAGTAGAGGCTGCAAAATGAATATTTACTATGATCACGGGAAGAACGCACTTCAGGGAGTTTGAAGGAACAAGGCAAGACAGCTAAATAAATATTTGTCTACAAATAAACATCTGTAGATAAATGCTATACAACATTCTCCAAATACAATGGAAGTGAAGACAAAGAGGAAATTATTTTCAACGAGGGCTTCATACAATGTGTTCATTAGAAAATAATGAAAGAAAACAGAAGTGTGTAAAATCCCGTATGAGAGCTTCCCTCACTCTTTCGTGTCCATCCACTTCACTTTTCCTTTTCCCTCTCTTTGAAAGTTATCACTTTAACATTTGTTGTTTATTTTTTTTATTTTTCCTAAGCATTTGCAAATATATGCATTTGTGGATATACATTGTCTGAGAAATTGGAGAAAACTTTTGCTGTTAATAAAAAGTTTCTATATCTGGATTCTGGTGTGGTCATATGAATGAAAATACTTGTCAAAACTCATCAAGTTGTCAGTCAGTGAATTTTATTGTATGCAATCACGTCTTAATCAAGCTGATTAAAAAAATAATAAAAATATACATAGCCCTCATTGCTGTTGTAAGGGCTATTAGAATCACGTCTCTAACAATGTCAACCCATTGATGAAAAGTTGACTGGTCTGACTGACTGATTTAATGTCCAGAAACAACTTGATCTATGTTTGCACTAATAGCCTTAAATACATCAGTCTGAGAAAACATTCTAACGAAAATTTTAATGTGTTCAGTTCATTTTGAGAAGCCCAGACCTTGACTTAGAGAAAAGAAATGGTAGCAACAGGATTGATTAAAAGTACAGGAGGGCTAAATGAGTGTAAATTTTGGTGTGTAAAGTTAGAGGAAAAAAGATGCCTTGAGATTCAACTCTTCACGGTACTCAACTTTTATGTGAAATCCTTATTCTGCTTTTGGTATCAAGAAGCATGTATTCATTTACTCTGCAGATTTTTATAAAACAATTTTCATTATTATGCAGCCATTAAAAATTATGCTTAAAAAAACCCTCAGGAAGATCGGTTATGTTTTGCTATGACCATGAATTAAAAAAGCAAGATGGAAAGTTGTAGAAAAGCAGACATGCTGAGAATTGGAATAAATGCAACAAAATATTGATGCGTCTAGTTATCTCCGGATAGAGGGATTATAAACAATTTAATTTCCTTAGTATATGCTTCTTTTATTTCTAGACTTTCTGAAATGAATATATATTAAAATTAGACTTTTTTTTTTAAAGCTCTATCTACCAGTATGAATGCCATCAATTGCCAGGTAGGATTTTTTTCACTCTCAAATAATTTATCATTATCCTTTTTCAAAAGCATCCTTCTGGGGTCATTGTGAGTAGCTCACCTGATTGTAGTGATGCATGTTCTCAGCTTCACTTCCCCAGTCATAAGCTCTGAATTCATCAGATCGGTAAAGCTGAATTAAATGTTTTATAGAAAAATAACATTCAGAGTAAGAATCACAATTGTTAGCAGCTAATCTTAGAAAAACTCTGTGTATTTGGAAGAAAATAAGGCTTCTGGATCACCAGAAGGATATAAATACATTTATACAAGTACGAAAAACAAAGTCAACAGAAAGGGAACCAATGATCTCCTTGGTTTGAAGGGAAAAAACCAAGACTCATTAGGGAGAAGACGAATCGCAGGTCTTTCCCTCTCTGGGGAAGGCTCAGGTCTCCTGAGCCTTTCCCAGTTTACTTTTTGCTTCAGTTCAGGGCCTATTTTACAAGCTCTGATTTCAGACAGTGTTCATTTATGTCACCTACTTGGTCTGCACCACACCTTGTCCTTTCTCTTAAAATCCAGGGAAATCAAATCATAAAGATGGTGACAAGGTCAAGATGGAAGCCAGCTGCTAAGCTTCTTAGAATAGGTGTGCTAACTCTGTCCTTTCATGTAGAAGGACTGGAATGGTTTTCCATGACAAAAACTCTACCTGTTTTATGTGCAGGATGTTCTGTACTGATGATCCTGTGGGAGCATGGGACAAATACACGTCCATTCGGCTCTGAAGGAAAACAAAACACATGTTACAGCGATAACCACCTAGTGCAAAAATGATGCCTTTCAGAAGCAGAGAACAGTTATGCTAAGAATTGGTACACAAATACTGGGGTTTTGAAAATGACATGGTGAAATCATCTAGATATCAAGAGTTCGTGTCAGACACCTCAATGTGAGTGAATCACAGGCTGACTGGTGGCACAGGCTGCTTGCCAGCAAACTTGTGTCAGCTCTGAAGTTAAGGGACAATTTGCTTATTTTGAAGTAGAAGAAGCAACAATGGACATCATGGGGGCAAAGCAACGAAAAAAGGTGCTCTGTGCAAGTCAGAGGGGTGGCGTGTGTATGTACACAATGTGCACCATCCCAGATCAGTAGATCAGAAATCCTAGAGTTCAGGACCTAACTTTGTTAATGAAAAGCTTTGTGACTTTGAGCAAATTCTTAAACATCTCAGAGTTTCTGTATTTTTATCTATTGAAAGGACATACTAAAAACCATACTCCCAATTTGCTGAGCTCTTGTAAGGATAAAATAAAATAGTGCAAAAGAAAAGCTAAAACCAATCACTTTCATATGCATGGTACTTCAATCTCTGTAAACATCATAGAGATGAAAATTATAGAGATATAATACTAACAATAATTCTATGTCTTAGAATGTAATGGGACTAATCAAAGAAACTATTAAAAATATTTACTTTTGAATAAACAGGATTTGAGCAATTGTTCCTCAAGGTTTTCAATTTAGCCTCTTAAAGAATAGGGGTAGGTGGGCTGGTGGAAAAAAGCTATTTGGGGACTAGCTTCACTGTAACGGTATCACTGGCTGCCATTCGGAATACGACAGGGGTGACTATTCAACCACACTGATCTGCACGTGTGAACTCCTACTCCTCCTTGAATTCTCAAAAACAGGAAACAAAGAGTTGATGAAACAGGACTTCTGTTTCTTTACAGGAAAGGGATTATGTCTCCATTCCATTGTCTTGCTTTTTTCCGAGTTAAGTGATGAGTTTTATTTGAGGCTAAAGTCACCCAACAGGTGAATGTACATTTGGAATAAATTTAAGGCTTGTATACGCTTCTCTTCTTTTCTAGGATTTTTGTTAATGCACTGTATCGTAAAATCCAGTTGACTGTGGTAAGTGGTGGCTGACTGTGAACTTGTGAAACCACTATTGTAGAATACCCATTTTCCTAAATTTGACCAGGGATGCAAGGATAAAGCTGCATATTCCTTTCCCAAATCTTGACATTCATAGTCCATTGGATACCTGATCTTCTATGCATAGCAAATCTCCACCTTTAAGGGTTTAGATGAACATATTAATTTATGCAGTGTAACAGATACATCTATACGAATCATAAGAAAGCTAGAATTTTTAAAAGCATTAAAAGATCCCATAGTCTATACATACCATATTCATATTTTTCTTGTTGAATCCAGCCCATAAGGACATAATTTCACTACATATCACCCATAATATTTTATTGTTGCAGATTTTGATAGAAGGTGACTTCCCTGTATTATCTTCTAAAAGGATACCTTTGGTACCAAAAAACCTCTGCAAAAATTTAAAAAAAAATTATCCTTTCAAGAACCATTTTCAGACTTCTTGACATTCCATTTATCCCAGGAATGAGGATTCTTGGGGAGCTATTTGTATTTGTATATTTATTTGTTGCTCTGGTCAAGGAGACCAAGTCATTTAGGAAAAGTAACTATTTATGAATCCATCTTCACGCAAGGAAGATCATCAGACATAATTTCCAAGGAGATTGCAGTAAGAACTCTCAACCCCAAATTAGCTAATTTCTCCATGGTGAAGCTCCCTTGTATTTTGTCCAATCAGTGATTGCCTGTATTTCTCATTAATTGGCAAGAAGGGTAGAACAGTTTCTCCTTAAGGTCAAATACTGCCTTGAATGGAAAGGAAAAGCAGGGTTTTTCCCCTGCTATCCATGTCCACATCACCTTTCCAGCAGTGTTCCAGATTAGCCAGCTTTAATGCTGAAAAGTAGAAGATGGTGCATCGAAGGAAGGGTGCCACTGGACAAAAAAAAATTGACATCATGGGAGGCAGCATGGTTAAAAGTTCTATGCTTGGAAAACAAGTTTCAATGGGGCTCTCTGATGGAGGAAGAGCACTTCTGGGGGTGACAGATACTATGAAATGGTGGGTGGGCCAGAGAATGAGATGTAAAATGGCAGGAAATTTGACATTAAGGGATATGAAACTGAGAAGAGCCAGGGACAATATTTGCCTCAGACCTGACCTGTTTAGGCAAAGCAATACACATTCAAAACTGTGTATTTAGAGATAGATGTGTCTATCTCTGAACTTAATTTAACTAATTTGTCTACCCGATTCTGCCCAAATGTAAAAAACATCCCAAACTAACTGATGTCATCACACTTTGAACAGAACCATCAATCACACAAAAGGGAAGTTCCATCATTTTAACTTACAGTAAACAATACAGTAAAACTACCATCACACCAATCATTTGGCCTCATGAATGCTGTTCCTTGTGTTAGCTCATAAATCCTTTTTTTTTTCCATTCCCACCTCTCCACCTCAGGCTAGGACCTCATCTTATATATGAGTTACTGTGAGACCCTAATTGGTCTCCTGGTCTTCATTCTGGACCAAATTTATTTTATTCTTCACCCCCAAATTTAAGGGGCAACCTTGGTAAAATACTATGTTCTTTGTGGCAATGACCTTTTTAGAGAAATAAAAAGCAAACAGAAAAAAACTTTTGATGACTAAAATTCCAAATTCATGACTCACCATTGTACTACTTTTCCAACACTTGGAAAATAACCAATAAGTATTTGAATGAATAATTGAGCTGTAAGACATTTAGGCTTTGGAGTCTTAGCTTGAGTTAGTTAGAGTAAGCTCCCACATGGGAAGGGGCATGTTCTTCAGGCTTATCTAACATCGAAGTCAGGGACATCAGTGATCACATGTAACTTGAAAAATGTCTTCCATTTGGGCACTGTGAATTCGTTAACATGTCCAGTGGAATAAGAATGGAAGAAGAAAACTTGCGAGTCGACCTTAACCCGACATAGCACTCAGCTTGGCTAGAAATTCTGACTGATACCCAGGTCTGTTAATGACTGAGTATCGGAAACTGTACCGGGACTTGTAGACCCTGTGGCATGGAAAACACACACAGGGACACACCCACATCCAAGCACATGATCCCGGAGTCTGGTTTTTACAGATTTCATCTAAAAGTCCTACTTTTACTTCATAATAGATTTAAAAACAGTAAGGATCTATCAATCATCCAAAAGGAGATCCTCATATACATTTTGGCAAAAGGAAGAGCCTACCTTGATCGCGGAATTTGGAAGTAGGAGAGCACTGGTGAAAATGCCTGTGGGATATCTGAATGAGTACACAGGACCCAGGGCAAAATTCATTTTGATTCTTTGTGCCAGTTCAGGCATCGTGGCAAAGGCTACAAACCCTGAGAGAACAGGAGACAAGAAAATCTTGTAAAAGTTAGAAATACTTAGGTAATGCTCCTATTGACCAAAGTGGGCTCTGCTTTGTCATTTTTACCCTTCTACTGCAATGATCTTGGGGGTGAATTGGGAAATTCTTCTGAGTGATTCTGCAAAGATAACCTGCCTTCAGTCCTCTCTGCTCTCAAGTCTCCATTTTTCTCTTATTCTGGAAAATTTAACTTGGTTGGGGAAAGTGAGGGATAAGTTGCTGCCACACAAATCAGGGACACCGTCACTTCCCAAGCTTGGGGGAAGTGTTGGCAGTGGCATCACTTTACCCCCAACTCTGAGATGCCAGAATGAGTCATAGAGCCTCAAGAAGTAAATAATCAGTTCAAGGAAGTGAATCAATTAGCTCTTTCTGCAGTATCATCTAGTAACTTCACAGTTTTTCTTTCTCACAAGGGAACGAGATTTCATGGCTCCCAGTGCTTCAATGGATATTAGTAAACCTCCAAAATCTTCCATGCTTCCAAAAGGGGAGGGGCTTTCCCTCGGTCCACCATGCTTCCAGGAAGGACCAGGTGTCTCCATGTGCTCTGATCTTTCAGTAATAGCACTGCACTCATCTCTAGCACTAGAGGAGATCAGCCTCACACAGGAAAGGCTATGTGGAGGGTCTATGTGTTTTGGTTTCCAGAAGTGCCTTCCTGGGCCCCCTCCACTCTGTGTGTGTGTGTGTGTGTGTGTGTGTGTGTGTGTGTGTGTGTTGTGTGTGTGTGTGTGTGTGTGTGTGTGTGTGTGTGTGTGTGTAGCTGTAGCACAGGCATTGTTTTCTGAATATTTTGTTGAAATATTGAAACTGTCTTAGCCAGAAAAAGAACTGATTTTGTATCAAATTGGCTGAGTAGTTGATACAAAGACTGAACCAGGCAGAATAGTTTTCCCTGGAAGATGTCTAGAAATGTGTCGATGTGAGGTTTTTGGTCACACTGACTGGGGTGGCCTCTTGTTATTTAGTGGGTTTGGGCCTGGCTTGCTCAATGTCCTACAAAGAGCGAGTCCTTCCACGTAAAATTTTCTCTGCTCAAAATGCAAATAATGCTCACTGAAAAATGCCCTAAATGCAACACAGAGCCCTGGTGATAGAATTTACTGTCTTCTTTGCCAATCAGATATAAGAGCATATCTAAGTCCTACCTACTTTTCTGGGCCCCACTCAAGCCATCCGTCTCCACAGAGTCTCTCCATCGTGCCCAAGCATCCCACTGGCCAAGTCCGAATGACCTGGTTTGAATCTGTGTGTTAAGAGACCTGGAATGATCAACTTAATTTCTTTGGACTTCTGTTTCCTCTTCTATGAGATAGAAATAATACTCGTAGGATTGTCCTGAAGCTTATAGAGAGATACTGTAAGAAAGGTCCTAAACAAAGGGCCCTCTACATAGTAAATGTTCCTAGGTGTTAGCAATTACAGTATAATCATTTTCCTGTTGGTGGTAGTTTTTTGGGGGAAGTGGGGTCTTCTTATTAGGACTTCGATACTCTTTTAGTATTTTAGCTGTGATGCTCACTGCCTAGTCTAAACTCGTAGGCTAGCTATCAATATAAAGCACTGATAAATACCATATTTGCTCTTGATGATAATGAGATACTGTAATAATGACTACTGTGAGAGTGAGACTACTGTAAGAATATTTATTTTCTCTTGCCCAGTTTCAACCCAAATGAAATATTGCATTTTCACATAACCCAATCTCTTTAAAATTGGAAACTTTGGTGGAAGATTACTAACAAATTTATATTATTAATAGTATGGGTTCTTTTAAGTTTTTATTTGGAGCTAGATTATTGATTTCTTTTTAAGAAACCTAGAAAGCGATTAAGAAGTACATATTCAAAGTACATTTCTTGGACTTTTAAAAAATGTTCTGCATCATGCTTACATTTCATGGCTACTCCATAAATATTAAATCATAAATTAAATGGATAAGCAGCCTGGTTGATTTGTTACAGTAAGCTTTTGTATTCTGATTCACAAACAAAGTGTGACTATGTCTTTTCAATTTGTTCAAATATGAGTATAACCCCCACTTTTGTATTTTTCAAAACCCCGTGTGGGTTATGAGGAAGGTATGACTTGATGTATATTTAACATTCTTCCAGGATATTTCATGACATTTGGCTCTAGTTTTGCAGCTCGGAGGACATCTAGAGACTTACTCTTTGAAAATACTTCTTTGGATTTGGGGCACGTGTTATACCTGGGAAATTACATCACCATTACAAATGTGCTGCTGTGACCAGAAATGGAGAAAGATTTGTCCTACATACTCACAGTCTCCAGAATTCAGGTTCACAGCCACTTGGGGCACTAGGGTTATGTGCCCAGCATAGGACAGAGAGGTAAGAACACTGTTAATGTAAAACAGTTACTCTGTCCCATTTTAAAGGTGAACTCTTGATGGCTCTGACCTTTGTAACATGTTGACCCTTGGAGACTTACCTATTGTAGTGCCAAGTGAATGTCCAATGAAATACAACTTCTCCTGACCAGTTTTATTTACAATGAAGTCTATTATTCCTGGGAGATCATATTTGGCCATTTCATCAAAGCTGCAAAATAAAACAGAGCCTTATAGATACTCCCAGCTAAGTTCAAAATTCAGAACACCTGCTCTCTTGTTTTTCACACACAAAATTCTGTGCTGTCCACTTCCTTGGTTTACATTCCATTATTTATCCAGTCACACGTAGGTTATTGCAGCTTTGACTTGCTGCATTTATACGTGTTACTTTCTTATAACAGGAATGGTTTCAAGACTTGTGTGTACTATGCCATTTGAAGTTCAGTCTTGTCATCCCTCCTCTTCATTTCCCTCCCTTTTGTTTCTTTTGCTGCCCTTTCCCCACTTGGTTTGCATGCCTCTACTTCAGCCCCCCCCCCCCCGGGAACTTCAAGACTTTAGGGCCACTTAATACCTAGCTTTGGAAACAGAATGGGTTGTAAATAGTGATGCTACCATGTACTAGCTGAGTAACTTAAGTCCTCTGAGCTTAAGTTTCCTCATCTGTGAAGTGGACACAATAGGGCTGTATAGCAGGTCTGCTTGTAGTAAAGGAATTGCATAGTATTAAAGGAACGACTCTGGCTGCTGTTAGGCACTCAACTCAATCAGATGTTGCTATTATTAACATTTCTGTCCATATAGAGATAAATTCAATATATACCAAATCCTATAGTACCAGTTCAGCCAGCATTAATGCAAGAGAATAAAAATGACCTAAATAACATATAGTTGGGTGAGGTACCCCATGAGCCAGAGGCCTGTTTATTAAAAGCATACAAGAGGAAATTGAGATTGGTACTTCCAAGCATAAGAGAATGGTCGTGATGCCTTACAGTAAATGAGTGCCAAGCTCTCAGCAAAGGACTGATGACACAAAATCTGTCCTGATGCTTGCCCCTGGCCAAAGTTCTGACCCTAACACTTTAGTCTATTCTTCCTTTCCTCTCAAGTCAGTAGGTACTGACTATTTCATTAATACGGTTCTGTTCTACAGCAGGCTTGCAAACCAACCAGGAGCTTCAGTGTGAGAAAGGATGTCTGCTGCAGGCATCAGCCTGTCCTCAGGTGACAGCAGGAAACACTTTCACAAAAAGAAGCGGTCAGCATATCAAAAGATTTTTTTCTAATGCCCCTTAAAGAGGTTTGAAAGATCTCACGTTAGAGTTTTCATGGAAAATGGTATTCTATGCATTCTCAACCACAGTTTCTCTCGGTAAAATGTAGTACTGATACACATAATCTTTGCAAAACTGATTGGCTGTCCAAGAGGAAAAACTTATAAGAGCATCACTAGGATGAATATGAGCTTCCTGAGGGTGGAGACTTTTCACAATTGAAGGGCCTAGAACAGTGCATAGACTAGGCACTTAATAAACGTTGGTTGAATGAGTGCCTACATTGGTCACAGGAATTTCCTAAGCTGTCCCTTGGGACAGACTTTAAAGTATAGTATTGGATAAAATTGTATGTTAAAATGATCGTGTTGAAATGATACAATTTGCTTGTGGGAGAATCAGTGAAAATCAAAGCTTCTCGCTATTTATCTCCTCTGAGATGTTAGAAACTACAAAGGAGCTGTGTGACTTCAGGTATCATACATTATTAACACCATCCACACCATCATATTTAAAGAACTTTTCCTTAAACTACCTTCATGATCTCTCTTAGATACAATTTACCTAAAGGCCCAGAATTCCTCTTCAGTCACTGAGAGTGTTGTGTGTCTCCTTGACCAAGTGTTCCCCCGACTGTTTCCCATCCAGACATCATAACCTGCATCTGCTAGAAGGAATCCAAGGCTGCCATTGGCATAATTCTCCAGCCAGGTAGCACTGTCTGCGAACAGGGCATGCTGCATGTACACAACGGGCCGGGCACCTGGAGGAGGGAAGAAGAGGCAGAGAGAGAAATTTATAATAAATAGAGCATCTCAGGAACGTGACACACACACACACACACACACTCCATAAAAGTAAAAACCAAAAACAGCTGACTGATTGACATGCATGGATTTACTTAATTCTTATAATAACCCTACAGAGTAGCTCTGGTTTGAGGATTCTCATTCTATAAACGTGGAGCCTTAAGGTAGTTAAGCAGCTTTCCTAAGGGCTCATCCGGCTTACAAGGTACAAAGCCAGGACCCAAGCCAGGTTCCGTTTCATGCCAAAGCATGTGCTCGTAACGGCTCCACACTACGGATCCACACTTCCGCGTCTCCTGGGCTTGGCTCACCAAGACACGAAAGTGGTCATGTTTGACGGAGTCTCAGGGCTCTTTCAGGAGGAAGGGGAGGTGAGCGCAAAGGGACAATGACTAGTTCCTCACCAAGTTTCCAATCAAACCCCCAGCTTCTTCCCACTGAAGACATTTGAAAGCTACAATAATAAAATCAGCTTCACATCCCCCTGCCGACTTTCACATTTCTGAGGGAGAGAGTGTTCAGGGGGATGAGGAGAACCAGGATGGAAGATTCTGTAATTTAATAAGTAAGAGCACAGGGTCTGCGGTCAGGTGGCCTGGGTTTGAATTCTGCTTCTGTCACTTGCTATTTCTGTGACTTCAAGCCTATACATAACCTCTTTTACCTCAGCTTCATCATCTGTAAAAGAGTAACTATTAATAGTAACAACCTCAGCTGCTGGAAGGTTTAACTGATTTAGTTCATGTAAAGCATTTAGAAAGTACAATTAATAAATGGCTTTTAATTCCAGATCTTCCCCAAATCCACCCTCTTTTAAGCAAAGCCTTTCCTGTAAAAATGTTCTCCTTTTATATTTCACCCTCATCTCCACCACTATGTCTGGTATCACCAGATTTAGCAACAAAACCAAACCAAATAAAAAAAAAACCAACCAAAAAACCCCCCAAAAAACCCCAAAACAAATACACCAAAAAAGCAAAGATAAACAGAAAGATCCAAAGGATGCCCTTTGTTTTCTCAAAATTTTTTAATTAAATTTAATTTTTTGATTGAAGTATAGTCAGTTTTCAATGTGTCAATTATTTATACAATGGTCTATTACTTTTGTATTTCAGATTAATGAAGAACTTTTCCATATATCTTAAAGTGAGGTTTATGTGAAAAACTTACCTGCTATTTATCTGAAATTCAACTTTAACTGGCCATCTCATATTTTATCTGGTAACTCTACCCATGTCCCACTCCCATTTCTCATTGCAAAACTCCTGCATTCTTTTTTTTTTAATAAGAACACTTCTTTTAATTATTATTAACTTTCATTTTTGGCTGGGGGAGGTAATTAGGTTTATTTATATTTAGATGAGGTACTGGGCATGTACTCTACTACTTGAGCTATACCTTCCCTCTCAGAACTCCTGACTTCTTAAAGAGAATGTCGAACATGACTTTAGCTGCTTCTGAACGTGGACGGCAGGAGAGATGCTGCAGAGCGATCGTGGTAAATGATTTGCCCCTGAACTTTGGCAGGTATTTTACTTACTCTTCTCCCCATTCCTCAAAGCATTTGCAGTTATATTTCCCCTTTTAAAGAGTATAATTCCTCTGCTTTTGCATGGCTGGTTCCTCATTCTAGAAAGAAGCCTTAGTCACCCCATGCTCTTTCTTTATACAAACTGTCTGTCCCTAAGCTCAAAGCACACGTGAATGTTTAAACTTTCTTTCCCAGAAAAAGTTTCAGAAATGCCACTGTCATTTGATTTTTTTATTCTGCAGAGAGAGGTCTATTAATCCTAGTGCTGGCAGGAGAGACTTCTGAGATACCCCACAGCCTACTTCATCCAACCCAACCAATCTCTTTCCAACACTGAGGAAATCCACTTTCCTGGAATACAGCAATTTTCCACATGAGAAATCAGTGATGAGTTGACAACATGTAGGCTCCACCTTTGCATTTCCGTCTTAATAAGCAAGCCTGGTTGCAGTCAGCGAGATCAGTCTTGCCCTTTGTATTTTCAGGTACTTGCCTGCCTTCAGAGAATTGGAAAAGAGTGAGTCTCCCTGTTAACCATTTAAAGACTAATCCAAAATTCAAAGCAACTTTGGTAAATCAGCCGCTGTCTGAATAAATAGCCAGCACTAAATTCTAGCCATCTGCAGCTCTCCTTCGCAGGAGAGACACATCTCATACCTGTGCTCCCAGAGTCTCTTCGCCCGCGGGGGATTCTGTTGACGCTGAGTATGTACCCGTCTTGAGTGGTGACTTCGTACTCCTCACTGGGGTAGCCGTTATAGGTGATGATTTCACTCTGCCCAGTGAAGACATAAGCATTAACCAAACATCTTCTCTAAGGGTTATCAAAAGGGACTAGAACAAAGTAACTAGTGTGTGCTTATTGGAGTAAATTACCTGAAATCTGTAGCCCCAGGTAACAATAAAATTAATTTACTACATAAAGTCATGATTTAAAAAAAAATGCAGACTATTAGAAAATGTCTGCTATTGGTAAAATTTTGATGAGTGGAGACAATATTAAGCATTGATGAATTCTTCTGACAAAACTGTATTTTCAAATCAATTGTCTTTTGAGACCCCCTCTTGGTTGAAAGGTAAAACCATAGTCCAGTAGAGGGCAGTCATACCCATATACCATCCAGAGGGCTTAAAACAGAAATTCTTAATATTCTTAAGAACAGAAATTCAAAGGAAGAGGTTCATCTATAAAAAATACAATTCTGCTTTATATTAGGAGAAAGTATTAATCAGCCCAAAGAGAAGATCTACCTAGCTTGACTCTTGCAGAAATGTTAAAAATCACCTATATTTTATCTGTTTTCTTATTAGAGATTTTCTGCTATAACAGGAACTTTAATATCTCACAACCCATTCATCTGCTTTATTTGATGTTCTTTGGAATTTTCCATAACTTACGATATTCATCCACACTTCAGGATTTGCTTCTTTTTCCAAATTAAAGAATCCACCAGCATTTAAAGTTCTACAAATCAAGTAGCTTGTTGTTAAAAACAGCCACATCATGGGAACGCCTGACATAAAACATTTAATAATCACAGATTAATTATATGTGTCAAAGTTATTAATGAAATGAAAATAGTTTCCTAATGAAAACTTGACTAACATCCTGAGCAAGCTGAACCAGCATGGAAGGGAGGAAATACAGTGAGCTAACTCCAATCACTAAGGATCTATTTTTTCACATAGAAACTGCCCTGACATAGTCCAGTTCTAAAAATGAAATGAATTTAATCTAGCACAGAGGCTTATTTTATATCTTATTTTTCTAGTTTTTTTGCTTATTTTTAAGTCTTTGCTCACCTGTTAGTTGCCAGAATACCTAAAGATTCAGAGAGCAAGTTTCCATACAATGGCAAAACTGAAAGGGTATTTATCCTCTAGTTTCGCCCAGCCTCCCACAAAACAAAAGCAATGAACAATGAAGCTTCAGCC